GTATGTTCCCGTACACACAGATGTCTCAAAATCACAAATGTAGTTATATATAGTAATAAGATATGCTTGGAGTTTTTTGTTTTGCACTGTTTTAGTTGGGCTAGTGTTGTGACAAGTAAGAACGAGTAAGAGATGTGTAAAGTGCATGCCTATGTTACTGCAGGGTCCCAAAAGTGTCCACACATAGGGGACTGTGTTTCCCAGCACCACGTCGGTTGTGCCTTCGTCAGTTAATGTTCATGGACGTCCGTGTCTCAGTTGGTCTGCAACACTTCCAGTCTTTTAGAATTTGTTGAGAAGTTTGGCAACAGTGTCATGTGTGATGTGCTCGCTGTGTTTCCTGTCCATCACAACCTTGCAACAGCTTCCTGATCCAGCCATGAGAATGATTTCAATACATTCTTCTTTTGTCAATGGCGTTCTTAAAGGCTATCTGAAAAAATACATATAATATAAACTAAGTATGAAAAATTTTGGAAGACATTTTGCTAAAAAGTGTTAATTTCCCCTATATATGGAGACTTTTGGGGCACCCTGTATATTATCTCACAGTGTTTTATGCCGGATGCCCTTCCTCACGCAACCCTCCCCATTTCCCGGGCTTGGGACCGGCACTGAGAGTGCACTGGCTCGTGCAGCCCTCCGGTGGCTGGGGTTGGTTCACTCACCAGGAATCGAACCGGGTGGCAAGATTGGACGATGCGTTTCAAGCCCAAATTAAAACCCAGTTTAAAAACCGAACAATCTGTCAGTAATTATATGTAAATGAGTTATATTACCTTCTCAATGCCTTTATTTTTCTTTAACATAACCCAAAAGACCCCAATCTTGCCTATAGATCGGATACGACAAAGAAAGCTGCTGTTTTTTATACTGGCTGTGTTTACTTTTGCTAACGAGTTATCACACACATGCAGTTAAAGATCAACTCCAATTCATGAAGATTTCTATGTGAGAAAAAAATGATCCTATTAGTGTACATCCTATCAGACCTGAGTGTTCATATTTTTCACATTTTCTTACACAACACAATAAAAGTTACAATACAAATATATATATTTTTTTTAAATATGAAATGATTTAGGAAGCACTTGATAATGTTGCTTCCTTTCCCACTGTTCTTCTTTAGCACAGCACGTCCTCCAGCCTAAAATTAAACCAGACCATTCATCCGGCTGAACGAGCTGTCTGCTCTGCCGGAGCATCTCCAGAATAAAGCGTAGAAGGAAAAAAATCCATACTGTCCTCCATTTCAGTTCAGTCCAGCAGTTCCCTTTTTCACACTCTGCTTCTAATAAACTCTTTTTGGAGGCCTTTAATTACTGTCTCTGGGAAAAACAAAAATGCAACTTCAGCACTAAAGAATCTTCGGGTCTATCGAGGACAACAAGGAGCTAATGGGACGAGTCAGGTTGTGAAGCCGGAACTCAATTAAGCGCAGCGGGAGTAGGAGGTTCAGCGAGTCCTCATGAGGAGATTAGGCCATTGAAGGGTGAAAAAAAGAAAAGGAAGACGAATGTGGAGTGAGATTGTAGCTGAGATGCTGGGGATGGTGAAATTTTTAATTTTGTCTTGCTTGACTCAGCATTTTTATGCTGACGATTGCAATGCTTCTTCATCTCCCTGTGTAGTAAGCGTGTGTGTGTGTGTGTGTGTGTGTGTGTGTGTGTGAGAGAGAGAGAGAGAGAGAGAGAGAGAAAGCACAGCAGCTTAAGTAAACCTTGGCGTAGATTCTGCACATCTCGGGAACTGTACTGGAGTGTTCAAACACTGCTGTTCCTAAAAATATTCCCTCGGTTGATATTTTGATGATGGTGGTAGGGAGCGCTGATTGGTTGAAACAAGGAGGTGTGTCTGGTTGTGTACCTGGAAACCTTGTTTTTATTTAATCTGACAGCAAATGTAAGGAAAGGAAAGGAAAATAATAAACAATAGAGTGGTGTGATGAAGCGTAGTTACTGTTACTACTCTGATTTTTTTTCGAACTGTTTTATTCCTCTTACACCACAGCAATCTTCCAATGATTACAATTTTTTATTTATTAAATAAAGACATGGTAACTTTTATCTGTTTAAAGTTACACTTAATGTTGTGGAATGTCAGCAAAACAAGTTAGTTCTTGTTATCGCTTATGTTATAGCAACTATAGCAAAGCATAAACTCGTCTGTCCTGAGGATGTCGGAAAATTTAACATTACAGATTTACCTTTGACTGTTACAAAGTGCTGATACTGGAGACTCCTTCCATAAATGTTGAACAACTCATGATAGAAAACTTCACCGTATAAATTTGTCAAATGTTGCAAATGTTATAGCACGGTATCACTGATATGCTTCTTCTTCTCCATTCATTCAGCTGTTTTTCATTTTCTGCCCTCTAGTGGACATGGTTATATTATGAGTTCAGAAATACACAGATGTAGAAGGAGAATCATGGCTCAGTGAGCCCTTGTGCCTGTGAATGGGGGCGGAGTCATCCTAGAAGACACCACGCCCATCATGAGAGAAATGTTTCATCAAAGGATAAAGGTGATCAGTAAGAAGGACTTTGGATTTGAATTGCAGTGAGGCTTCACTCTAAGGGAACAAAGGGAATCCAAATTATGCCAGCAGAATAAGTAAATGCCCCCAGAGTATAACAGAGCTACCATTTTTTCCTTTGTCACCTGCCTGTGTATATCAATCATTCTACAGCGAATCCAGCCCACCATACGACTCCTTTTACTCCTTTTAACTGCATTTCTCAGTGTGAAGACAATATTCAAAATCTGTCTAGAATAGTAAGCATGCGATTTGAGACACAGCCTCTGTATGTCATGAAGGTTAAGCAATGATGATGAGCTGATGACAAGAATGAGGCTGGATCCTTTAGAACACTGTAGAGTGAAGTGTGTGTGTGTGTGACAGTGATTAGCTATGCTGATGTGACCTGCACTGTGGTGAGGACAGGAAGGAACGCTGACCACCATCTGGGAGAGTGACGAAGCCTGGCACCTTCAACTCTTTAATTATTCAGAGCTTCCCTGATGGACATGATGAGTGTGTGTGTGTGTGTGTGTGAGAGAGAGAGAGAGAGAGAGACTAAGGGAGGGAGAAAGAGAGAATGAAGGAAAAACAGGGACAGAGACACAGACTGACAGAGAAGAGAGAGGGATAGACAGAGGGAGAAAAAAGACTGACAGAAATTAGAAAGATAAACAAAGGGAGAAAGAGTGAGAGAACAACGGAGAAAGAGAGACAGGGGGAGAGAGAGAGAAACACAGACAGACAGACAGACAGAGAGAGAGAGGCTGAGAGATAATCAACCACAGTCTGGCATGAAGAAACAGTGTTACAGTTTTATTCCTCTTATATCACAGCACTTTGTCAACTAACATATTTTTTTTTTAATTTATCAAAGAATGACACGTATGTACTTTTTATCCATTTATAGTTACCTTTAATGTTGTGGGACAAATCAATAGATTATGGCACAAACAACTTGGCCATTCTGCCTATGGGAGACATTCCACCAAAAGTCTATGAGTCAGAGAAGCAACCTAGAAGGCCAAGAATGACACTTAACATGATGCTACCACCACCATGCTTCACTGTGGGGGTGGTGGTCTCAGGATGATGAGCAGTTTTAGGTTCATAATTCTCATAATCCTCCTCTCTGTGCTCCTATTCATAATCTTTTCCTTCCTGTTTGCGAAACAACACCTCTGGACCAGATGTGTTACGCTGATGTGCTGCCTTAATGTCATCAGGGCTTGTGTAAATGTCACTGCTATATATTTTCTGCTACTGTAAGATTGTGCAGGAGTGCAGGAGTAAAGCCGTGTTTTTCATTACACCTGCTGCACAAATGAACTCACAACAGCCTGAAACTAAATGACTGGCTCGCTAATAAGATTCCTGCCGAGCGGCGTCTATTACAGCCGTGCGCGAGATTAGGGCCGGCTGTAACATTTGTTTATATGGCATTCTTTATTTCACCACCTGCTGGGTTTATTTTCTCTGTAATGTGCTTTTGCTCTGTGAAACAGTTTTCTGTTTTATAAAGGCTGTAAGATTCAAATTGCTGGCATCCTTTTCAATGTTTATATGCTGATAAAGGAGGCGTGGTCACTGTACGAGCAGACCTAGTGCAGAAGGTGTGGCCAATTTATCTGCAGTCTCAGTGAATGAGTGATGGAGGCGTGGCCAGTGTATTTCTAGTCCCAATAAAGGACTCATCTTTTCTGCCTCCAGTCCTAGTGAATGAGGCGTGGCCTCTGTACCTGTCAGTCACAGTGAAAGAGGCGTGGCCTCTGTGCCTGTCAGGAGCAGTGAAAGTGGTAAGGCTGCTGCATCTTCAGTCCTAATGAAGAACGCATGGTGTCTGTGTCTGTCAATCACAATGTAGGAGGCATGGCCTCTGTGCCTGTCAGTCACTGTGAAAGAGGCGTGGCCTCTGTGCCTGTCAGTCACCAATAAATGAGATGCAGAATTCCAAGTCTGAGACTAAAAGTAGCCCCTGTGTAAAAGGCAGTTTTCCTCTCCCTGTCAGAGAGAGTAACTTTGACAGCTATAGCAAGCAGACATCTGTGTCTTGATTACCACACACTCACTCACACTCACACACACAGCATAAAGAGTGCAGAGTCAGGCACAGTGTAAAAGAACACTGCCTCGAGCTCATGGTTCAGACGCGATGGATTTGGCCTGACAGGCTTTTGTCATTTCCTGGTTGTAATAGGTCCATGGAGTCATCACTCATGCGTTTACTGCAGTGCCATGAACGACACGGCTGCTTGCAGATTAGGCAAAAAGTGTGGTGGGGCCATTAATACGGTTGTTAGGCTAAATGAGCGATTAATCAGGAACTAAGATGCGTGTGTGAGGGAGTGTGAGGATGTCAGGGATCAGGCCTCATCATAACCAGCCACACACTGAACCTACTGAGATTTAGGGTAAATGCCCCCCCTTGTTTTTTTGAGGTCTGGCCATGTGAAAAATTCACAATATCATAATCATATGACGGGGTGGTTAAGTGGTTAGCACATTGGCCTTACAACTCCGGGGTTGGGGGTTCGAATCCTGCCTCTGCCCTGTGTGCGTGGAGTTCTCCCCGTGCTTTGGGGGTTTCCTCCCCAGTCCAAACACATGTGCTGTAGGCTGATTGGCATTTCCAAATTGTCTGTAATGTGTGAATAGTTGTGAGATTGTCCCCTGCGATGGGTTGGCACCCCATCTAGGGTGTCCCCAACCTTGTGCCCCGAGTTCCCTGGGATAGGCTCCAGGCTCCTTTGCAACCCTGTGTAGGATAAGTGGTATGGAAGATGGCTAAGCATATGACCTAATATTAATATTTTAAGTGGTAACTAATTTGGTTTGGGAAGTCAGAATAGTTTCTAAAATGCACACGTTGATGTTGAGGTACAAATGTTAAACAAGACGTTCATGTTCTCACTTACATTATAGCAGCTATAAACATTCGTTCCCTCACCAGTGTCTGTTTCTTCTCTCTATTCAAATTTATATGACAAATAAAACACAGCTTATCATGTTACCAAGAAACCGCAAAAAGCATAAACACTTCTGTCCTGAAGATGTCGGAAAACTTAAAGTTACTGTTTTACCTCTGATGGTTAGAAAGCGCTGATACTGGAGATCCTTCTACAAATGCTATATAAACAACCTCCTTACTGAAATCTTCACTATATCAATGATTACAAAATGTTTTTAATTAGTTTACATGGCACATCCACCATACAAATCCCTGTGAATGAGCTGTCACTATAGAAATGACAATGTATTAGAATACCATTTTAAAACCGTGACAAACTGTGGATGCCTTATATCTAAAATTAATTATATTTTCCACACAAGATTATTTATTTATCCAGACCAGTGGGATGCTAATATATATCCCAGCTTGTCAAGCTCATTCTGGCAGCCCTTTTAGACATGCAGTAGCAGTCCAAATTAAACAAGCGCTGTGAATTTATCCCTTCAAGGTTTCTTAGAAATAGACTCAATCTGTACCAATAGCATGCTAACCTGGATAACTGAGTGAGAGAGCTTCACCTATCAGTCTCACATGCCTGAAGATGGGTACTAAAGGTACTGTGATGAAAAATGAAATGAGATTACTGATAACATACAACACATTGGTTTGTTATCCATTTTATACAACAGCTACACAGAAGGCTGTTCATGCACAGCTCTTACCTGGTTTTGATGAATATTATGAGATTTTTTAAAAAAAATTATTGCTAGTCTTCTCATATTTATCTGCATGGGCAAATGAATACTCTTGAGTTTCCAGCAATTTCCTCATCGACGTGCTTGTCAGGGTTCTGACAGCATCTCGATATGCCTCGTTTTGTACATGCGTGCTCATTCAGCGGCACTGACAGCACTCGATTCTGCGCTTTTGAGTGAATTGTGTTTCACCGTTTCATCAGGTAATGCTAGAGGTCAGTGAGTGTCATTCAGGTGTTGCACTGATACACTCACACGTGTTATTTATATATCAGTACTCACAGCATGACTGTTATAAGGCTGTCTAATGGCTTTACAATGGCTTATAAGTATTCACCCCCTGTCCATATTTTGTAGTGTTACAACCAGGATCTGAAATGAACTTAATTGGGATTATGATTCTTCAGAAAATAGCCCATAATATCAATTACAAATAAAACATAAAGGTTGTGTTGGTGTGAAACCCCTAAAATAGTTTCCACCAGAAGTCACATAATTATTCAAACGGAGTCGAGGATCAGTTGAGGTTTGGTTATAAAAAAAATAGTCCAAACTTTGAACATATTGCAAAGTGACATTAAATCCATTATTGAAACATGGGAAGAACACGCCACAAGCACGACCCTGCCTAGAGGAAGCCACTACCAAAATTCAGTGAGCGGCTAAAGAGGAGATTAGTCAGAGAAGCAACCAAGAAGCCAAGGGTAATTCTAAACGTGATGCTACCACCAGCATGCTTCAGAAATCGAGCCAGTGTAGTGTTTTTGCTATACAAGAATTGCTAGATTTCTTTGATATATTAACATTCAGTTCACTGTGATGTCACTCCCGGCCATTGACTTGCATCAATATATAATGCTGTAATATCTCAGAAATTAAGTTATTAAAAAAATACTGTTTGTTAAATGCTAACTCTTTGAAAGAGCACAGGCTGAATTCGCAGTGGCACATACAGTACTGTGCAAAAGTCTTAGGCACCCTATTTTTTTTAGTACAAACTCTGTTATAGATTTGTATTTTATGACTTCTACATTATTGATTCAGTACAAAAACTTTTTAGAATTTCAAACATTAGTTTTCCAGCACAAAATTAAATGTTACAGAAAAATGTTTGTATGTCAGTAAAGAAAGCATTAGATTATATAAGAGACACTTTTCAGACAGAAAAACATAATGAAGGCTGCTGGGTTTCGCTGCAGAAATAAGAAGCGAGTCGACAGTCAAAGTCTCCAGAAGAACTGTGGCTGCTTCTGCAAGATGCTCAATAAAACCTACAGCTCATTTCCTTATGAAACTGCACACATTGTACCTGAGACTACTGTTTTTTTTTTTAAAGCGAAGGATCGTCACACCAAATATTGACTTTGTTTCATTTATTACTGTTTACTGCTCTTTATAGTATTTTTTTAATGTAGTAACATTTAGTTTCATTATTTTTGAAGGCATCTTTGCTCTACAGCATTTCTTTGCATGTGCCTAAGACTTTTGCACAGTACTGTATATTTCTTTCCTCCACCAGCAATTCAGCAAACTTTTAGTTCACATTCACACAAAACAATACCTCCTCATTATGCATCCTCTATCATGCTTCTGTTTTTGAGATTATAGCATTTTTAGCATTGGTCTAATCGCATTGTCATGAGGAACAGATTAAAATGTAAGAAAGGTAACGAACTCGCGGCCACAAGTGTTTGCGTATTAAACATTACAGAATTAGCACTGAGGCTTATCTGAGTCTCAACTCTCTATACGATGTGTGTTTCTGGATTTGTGAATGTTAGGCGAGATGAGATGGGTGAGGAAAAAACATGAAAAAAGTGTCACCATTTATGTAAGTGTTAAAGGAGAACCTCACTCCAAAGAATGCTAACACTGTTAATAAAAACTGAACATATTAAAAGACATAAGTTCAAAAGTTACATTTATATTTACACAGCAAATTTACTCCTGTTCCGTTCACACCTCCGAGGTTGCCAGATTGTTCTTTGGAAAGTAATTTTTTTCAGTTGTGTCTAGGCCACTGCCTTTAAACACAAGCACTTACTTTTAATTTCAGCATAAAAGCAAATAAAAGAATACAATTTAGACTATTATGATAATATTCGAATGAGGAGAAGGCAAAGATTCAAATAAATATCTAATAGTTGTCTAATATTGTGAATACAGTAAGGCTGATTGTCATCAGTAGGAAGTAAAAAAAGATCTTAATCACGCAATCACTGCAAATTTCTCAAGTTAATAAAACGGCTTCTGTCCACATTGATTGTTCTATAAAATAGCACTTGATCCAGCACACCTGATCCAGCACCTTATTGTTTGCACATTGAAACTGATCTAATGTAATATTGTAATAGTGTAATAGTGCATCTGCAACAGAAAGTGTGAGGTCTTAATTCCTCACGATGTGCGTGTATCTCATCTCTGAATACAAGCTTTTAGGAAAATAGCATCATGCTGGCTGTTCCCTATTAGATCCCATTCTTCACTGAGCAAATGATTAATTTCAGTGTGCAAATTTGGACAGACAATTTACAGGCTGCAAATAAAGGCCTTCTTTTGTGCTAGCATGCACCAATTTTGTTTTTGCTAGCTAATTTTGTTCCATTAAACTAGCATTGAATAAAAATGTTAACTTCCTGCTTGAGACAAAAAAAAACCTGCCAGCTTCAGATTAATATCAGAGTGTGTGGTTAAGAAAGGGAGATTTCTTTCCCCTCAGGATCGAGAGCACGGTGTGTTTGATCTGCTGCTAGCTGCTGGTTACTTAGCAGTCAAGTCTCGGTCTCAAGAGCACAATTTGCAAATCAAGCTGGATCTGGGTCTGTGTCTGGAGCGGCTGCTATGTGCACACACACACACACACACACTTAGCCACACTTACACACACTGGGGAGAAAGGGTAGTGTGTGAGGGCACGGCGTGAGAAGGCTGGAAGTAGCAGGGCTGTTTAAATGGAGATCCCAAGAGCTCCTTCACAAAGACAGGAGAGATTAGACAAGAGCTACTGTTGTCTTAGGAGCACCATTTAGAGAGTGTGTACTCAAAACACTCACATAAACACACACACACACACACACACACACACGCCATCTGCTCTCCTCTCTAACATCTACCTATTTTTTCATGTTTGACATTGTCTGGAATTGACATTGTTACAGTTATCACATAAACCTTTACTCAAGAGGAGTGTTCATAGGGTTACATAAGGGCTAAATAAGCTTTACATAACAACTGGCATAAGCCATATTAATAAAGGCTAATTCCAATACATATCAGCTGTCATAAAGACTTCTTTTGTCAATTTTGATGTCAAGTTGATATAACACCTGAGATATGTGCTGTGGATTTTTTTGTTGACATAAGACTGTTATAACACTTTCCAAGCTAACTTTACATTAAGACATCATAACAACTGACTTTGCAGCTCAGTGCACATTTGACATGTCTCATGTCTCATAATGGTGATGTTGTGGCATATAAAATATAATCATTTGCCTATGTCACATCATAACCTTAATGTCACTCTGACATAGCATAAGTACCCAGAGCTACAATGTCAGCTGGCGTAATATTCTAATGTAAATAGTTTGGTGAGGGAGTAACCAAAACTCTTGTGTCAGATTTGCATCAAATTAGCTAAAAGCAGAATTCATCCACCTTATCCAACTTTTTTTCTAAGTATCTCATTTGTTCATTTTGTAATAAGCATCACTTGGAAAGCTATGTCACATCATCACCATTATGTCACTCTGACATAGCTGTACACAGAGCTGTGATATTCTAATGCAAGTGAGCTTGTTAATAAGTAACCAAAAATGTCACTTGTCACATTTACATTAAAATAG